AGGGAAAGAAAAATCAAAACAAAGAGTATCAAACAATTAGAAATGAACACGTTATTCACTTCGACTTCACAGAACAGTTGGCAATGAAAACAGATGAGACACACAGGAAATACCTTCAGTAACAAAGCAAGGTGGTAGTCCTTTGAGATCGTGAAGAAGGAAGCAGGAAGGAGAGCCATAAAGCAAAAGAAGCAGAGTCAAGGTTCATTGAAGCGAAGGTTCATACGCCGTTTAGAAAAATAAGTTTTTCTCGCAGCAAATCACAAGCAGCTGAAGAACCCAAACCAGCATAAACCCCAAGAATGCTAAAAACCAAGTGTGAAGCATAGCCCTTATGCAAAACAATTACAATATTTTATGTAAATCTCTGGATATTGGAAGATATAATTGTTGCCATCTCCAGGATAACTGAAACGTGCTATGAGCTAAGAAAAGTAAAGAACTGCCCACAGCTCTAATGTGGCCCAGGGGAACAGAAGAAATAGTGCACACAAAAAGCATTTGCAGAGGCATCAATCAGTAGTGAGTTTGCCATTACTTTTTCATGACTGAAATTATGTATTTTTCTCGCTTTCATCATGGACAAATCCTTCACCAAGAAGTGACTTCTGAGAGAGAGTCAATCAACTGAATGTTGAAGAGCTTCTTATAATCATTCCCTCCTTTAACAAAGGGGAGAATACAAGACGTTCTAGCCTTTCACTGCGCTTCCTACAATGAATTTAAGAGTCTTCTTCCAACTTTATTTAACATTGCTATGGTCACAGGTTTTAAACAAATACAGGTATACAAATGCTGCTTACCAAAAAGCTCTTAAGGACTTGTTAAAAGTAACACCAAGATTATTAGAGGACACTGGAAAGTGAAAAGCCATTTTCCTGTTACTAATTCAGTAGGCATCAGTCCCTTCTTTTGCAAGGCCTTCTTTAAAAGGACACAAAATGCAGGACTGAAAGAATTTGCTGTGTGTAGCCCTCTGATGTTGCCAGCAAGTGCATTATATTATCAACTTCATAAACAGATGAAAATTCTTCTCAACACTAGGTAAGCCTGTGCTTTGCAGCTATCCCAGAACCTTGCTGTTTTGGTTCTTAGAAACTCGTAAGCATTAAGTTTACCCGCAACTAGTTTCTACAGTTTATGTGCATCAAGGATGACCCTTAGCTTAAATAATTTCCATAAATAGTCTCATGTTTATTCATCCCTTCTCCATCTCTGAGAAGAATTTACGGAGAGTAGTCACATCCCTTATTACCTTTAACATAGCTAAGTTAAAAGAAATTAACCTCTGCTAATCTTCTTCATGCTCTGAAGAATCCAGTGCTTCCACTGGTTTAAAGATTCAAAGATTTGTTACTTTTCCTCTGTAAAGTAATTGTGATTTCTAAAAGTTTGGGTTTGCTGGTTTGTTTTTTGTTTTGTTTTTTTTTTTCTGTTTTTCTTTTTAAAATTTTTTTTTGCTATATGTGCAATGGAATGAGGCAGAGTAAAAGTTTCATTTGAGAACAAAAACCTGTAGATTGCAGATGCAATTGTATGTCAACCACTCGTATATATTTTTAATAATCTGTCCAATAAAGTATAATACTGAAGTTTAATGAATTGTCAAAGCCTGATAAAAGTTCTTTCTGACTAAGAAATATTTCCACTTCGTACAGAATTTTTTGTGAACTAATGAAGTACCTCCTGTCCTGCTGCCCCCGACTCTTGTGTCTCTTGAAGAAAGCTTGGGAAAGGATATGGACACACGTGCCTGAAAAGGTAGAACTACTTTTCCCCCCCATAAAATGCAGTGTGACTAGAAATACTTTACTCCCCTTGGCTGTGAGCCGAGGGACCTCTTAGTGTCCCCGCCAATAAGGGTGTGAGTTGTGCGGAAATCAATACTTAATCTGTTTCAGCCTGATCAAGCAAGCCTTTTAAGAGAGGAACAAGGCTTAGATGCTGGATGCATCTAGGAATCCAGTATCCCAGATTCAATCAAGTGAATGCCAAGAGAAAAGGGATAATCGCTTCCCTCAACCTGCTGCCTGTGCTTGTCACAGCAGCTGATCTCTCCTCGTCTGACCTAAACAGAACCAATTCTGTTTGGTGACTTTTCGTTCTCAGCTCAGTCTCTTCTTAGAGGCTGCACCTTCTGAAGTCAGCAGCATGTTTTTGCAGACAGTGGGGGCTACTGGCAGTGATCACACCTGATGTTTACAGTTACTGCCTGGCACTGGGATGCAGAAAGGCTCTTGCTGATTCTTATTCCTGTAGTGCCCAAGGCCACTGCTGGCTCTTGTGTGCCACACTGGGGGTGCCGGGTAGTGAGAGGGGTCACAAGGAAGTAAAAGGTTGCACCTCTGGGGGGTAATAGACAGGACAGGTGATCAGCAAGAGTCTTCCATTCCATTCTCTATATATTCAGTATAAAACTGAGGAACTGTAGAGGGGTTAACCCTTCCGCTTCAATGGCCAGTGCCTGAGGAGGACTCCGTCAGATCTTCTGCCTTTGATCCCGAATCCAGCTCCCTGTATCCAGCTCCCCTTCGTCCCTGAGCCTGAGGCCTCCCCAGTGCCACCTGCTCTGCGGCATCTGTGGGAATTGATATCGGGGCGGAAGTTGGGCTTGATATCGGGTTTGTATATATTTGTACATATTTAATGAAACAATAAAAAAGAACTGATAAGGAAATAATAATCAAAGCTGTTTTCATTTTCTTTTCCGATCCATAAGTGTCTCTGCCTAATTCCATTTCCCTTCCTGTTCTGGGGAGGGAGAGGGGTTAGGGAGCACCTGGCAGTGTTCAGTGGCCAGCCCAGCCCTAACCCTCAACACCCAAATCTCCAGGATGAGGCAGGCAGCACTGGAATGGTGAGCTGGTAGGTACTGCTCATTAATCCTAATAATGTAGCTTTAGAACTTACTGTGTTGTGGTTCACTAAAAATATAAAACCACTAAATGAGCACTATTATTCCAGTAGTAGACTGGAGTAGCTGAAGTAACAAGAAATCTGCCTGCACAGGTTCACTGCCTCCTACTGTCACACACAATCTCTGAAGTTAAACATTTAATTCCAAACACATTATAGTCATTCTTAATATTAAAGCACCATACTTCCAATTACAACAAGATCAGAATGAGAGTTTACTGTAGAAAACATGAACCTATAAAGCCAGACAATCCAAACAAATCTGCCTACCTGCATCCATGCTGTGTGCACGGACCTTTAAAATTTCTGCTTTCAAAAAGAAAACTTTACATATTGGGCAACATGATAAAGAATTTTTCCATTGTAACGAACAGTTCATAGTCATTCTTGACACAGGTTCTTCAGCAAATGTCAAGGCTTTTCATAGCAGAAGCCACTTCTGACTATCTGTTTTTCTACTATAAAATTAGCGAAATGTATTAGTACCTGGAAAGGCTCCTTTACTCAACTTTAAGATAACACCATTCAGTAACATGCTACTTCTGTCAAAGCTAGCTCACCCTGTTAAATAGCCTGTTTTCTTCTACAGAAAATAAAAAAGCCTCACACTGATATGCAACTCCCCTTAAAGTCACAGACAGACGATGCAAGAGCAACTCATTCCTGCAAAACAGAATATGAGTATTTTCCAAGATTTCTCAAACATTTCTTGGTCTTTGTTGTCCACTTAGCACTACCCAGATCTGGTCTTTGCGCTGCAAAATTAAAGTCTAACTAGAAGGCTAGTGCAACACAAAGTAAAAGCACTATTTGTTAACACACAAGTCAAACATAAAACACCCTACAGAAGTTAAAGTCATCCTGTAAGACAGAATATGCTTCATGGTAAACATCAAAATTAATGTAAAAAGCATTCTGAATTAAGTTTCAAACGTTCCTCCAACCTTCATACTGGAGAGAAGCAAGACTAGAAAAATACAAGAGTTTTACAGCACTATGGTAGGAACACGACACTAATAAACTCTCATTGGAAAGGCACTGATTGCCATTCCATCATTAAAAAAATGCAGGCCATAAAATGGTTAACTTATACACGTTCCTGAAAGCTTTGCATAATATTAAATAGATACAAGAAGACACAGAGCACAACTCTTTCAACATGGCATTTTTCCTCACAATTCTAAGTACTGAGGTTATCAGATATCAGGAGATACTAATACTAGATAAAGAACAACTTTGGAATTTAATACTGATTTCATATGGAAGTTTTATATATAATTTAGAAGTTAGGTATTAGTTGTCCACATTTCACATGAGAAAGGTGACAAGATGATCTTAATACTTTTTTCTTCAGCTGATCGCCAGTAGCTGTTTGAACTTATTTCTGATTATCTGTTTCAAAGCTCTTACCTTCCAGAACAGAATACTACAGTGTCGACAGAAGTGCAAGGTGTCCCCATACTGTTCCTTTATTGGGTAATATTTCTGAAGTGCAAAATACATCAGCTTCCAGTCAATGTGACCTTTCTCTGACAGAATCAAATGCCTACAAAACTGGACATAAAATTAATATATTTCTTTAAAATGCTTAAAGAATTAGTCAGGTAGAAAAAAAAAATGAAACAGAGACAAAAAGGGTAGTTAAATTGAAGATTTATAACTGTAATTCTTTGAAGACAATAATCTGACATCATGCATCTCTGCGTACCACTTAACCGGTAGTCACCAAGCAAACGGTACCACTTCAACCTGCCAAGATGTAAGAATGCATATTTTCACTTCCTCCAGCCTGGAATGTGCAAGGTTTTTAAAGTTTGTCCTGCAGCTCTGATGAGGTAACTTGTATTTTCACAGCTTTAATTTCACCCGATGAAAATTTTCAGTCTGATTTTGTCCTACTGTGTATTACTGTCAGAAAATTAAGAAAGTTCTGGAGGCATTCCTAGATTGCTTTAACGCTTTTTATGAGGAAATGACAGAAAAGTACCACTTCCCTTTTATTCCTAATTTCAGAATCTCAAGCATTTGTTCTATTACGCTTAGCAAAAAATCCAATTTTGGTGTCACTGGACTGTTCATGTATCCTTAAAGTTTTAGCAATGTGTCTGCCTACCTTTTCTGGTAAAGTAAGTTTATTTTAGGTACTATGATGAAAAACACCTTAGAGGTACCCTCTACCACAGTTGTTGGGGATTGTGTAGGTTTAAAAAAAAATAAATCTTATGGTACACATTTTTTAATATAATACAGAAAATAGCCCGATAGTTAACCTAAACTCACAGATATCCCGAATACCACTTTTAGCATGAACGAAGCCCCCCAAAAGAGAACAGTTTCACTACTACTGCACACTCACATTTTTATCTCAGAAAGGGTGAGTTCAAACAGTATAACATATTGCAAAGATAAGGGCCATGTTTATGCAAATAATCAAGTTTATTACCTGCTTTTCTGCAAAATGGTACTGGCAGAGTTTTTTCCACAACTGTCTGTCTTCACTGAGCATGTACAAAGTGGGGGTCACTTGACCCAGAGTGATAATGTCCCAGCCATCAGAGAACCTGTATAAGATGTTATTCAGCATATGGAGAGGCAGATCGCTAAGCGTAAGACCATTGTTGACTTGCTGGAAATAAGAGTTGAAGACTTTTAACTACAAAAACTTGACAGTATCAGGTACAAAATAAGATTCTTACTTTAGAGCTATCGCAGGTCTTAGTTTGTACAAAACCATGGAGAAATATCTGCGATCACTTCTGTGATACTTTGATTACTTGGCTACAGTTGTTCTATAACTGCTGTTCTTGAAAATTTAAATACCTGCAGGTAGAGAAGGAGCTACAGACTGAACTTTTTAACTTAGAGCTTTCCTACTATTTCCTACTGTTAAAATAAACGTATCCTGAATTCTTTATTTAAATTTCAAATAATTTTAAAACACTTCTGTTCTCAGAAATTAAGAGTATACACTCTTAAGAATAATATATTCAATTCCACCTCCAAGAGACGTGTACTAAAGCTGTAACTATAATAGAGATATGAACCAATTACTTGTAATTTGTAAGATAACTACAGTTCCTCTATTTTGAGAGGCAGAAAGCCAGAGGCAGAAGAAAGCAGGTTCATTTCTGAAGTCCTGAGACAATTCCCCTCATGTGTAAAAGAGGAATTCTGCAGGGGGTGACACATCTGAGCACTCAAAGTTTTCCCCAAGAGTCTGCAGCTATGCTGAACCTCATCTGTAATGGGGTAAAAACTACAGCACAGCTCCTGACTTAACCTGGAGCCTCTTCTGCCGGGTGTCACAAAGCCCAGCATGCCAGAGGCGCCGGAGGGAGCCTGGGCAACCACCGGCCCCACCAAGCACAGCTGTTCAGGCAGTGCTGGCAGTGCAGCAGCTGCGCCCGAGCAGCCTTTCACTTATTTCACAGATTATTACACAGTTTATTTCACAGTTTATTTCACAGCCATTCATCTCACTTAGAGGCTAGACTTTGCATTGGGTCACCTGCTACAAACACCTCTGGGATCATGGTTCTGTTCGGGAATATGGGAGTGTTACAGATGCAAGATTTCTCATTGGTTACTTCGACCAACATAAACCAGCTCAGATGGAAGCGCTACGCTGGGAAGGAAAACGCAGCAACTGCAGTGTCTCAAAACTGTCTGTGCTGTGGCTGCCTGGCATAGGAAAACTGCCAAGACTGGGCTCCCCATTTCTCCTTTCTATTCCAAAATGAGCCGTTTTACTCGGATACCCAGCACTCAAAGCAACGACAACTTCAAAATTTCATAGCTGAAAGCAAACAGATGAAACAGTTGCACGACTTTACTGTGAGTAATATCTTGCAGCATTTCTTCCTCCAGGAGTCATCCAGACTGGTTAAAAAAGTGCCTACTTATTCACCAGAAGTTATGGATGTGGAACAGTGCACACCACATGCCTTCAACACAGTCTCATGATCAGAATCCAGATGCTCAAGTCATTATCCTTTTTTTATAATTTTTACAAAAAGCAACTGTGCTAATGAGTAAAGATGTAAAATTGCTACTGCGATATTTTATATCTGTTTTCTTGATCCACCTCTAAAATTCCTTTCAGATTTTTACTTAAGCATCTACTTGCAGAACGTTTACTTTGGAATAAAAATTGGTATTTTTTTCCTTCTTTATCTAACAATCTAGAGACAAACATTTTGAAATTTATTTGGGTGAGAAAAACAATTACATTAATACATCTCTGCCACAAATCAGCAGTACAGGCACTGTCCCATCCCTTATCAGGAAAGAGCTTCTAAAACATCAGAAAATTAAGTGGATTTCATTTCATTAATTTCATACTCTCTAAAAAAAATAACCAACAAACCAATTAAAACTGTTTAAGATGTATTTGAAACTATTATTCATTTACAAATCATAAATCCACGTTCAGTATAATTTCCCTCCCTCAATTATTTTTTTGAGCATGAATAACATACCTTGTTCATCTGAAGGTTTTTCAGTTGCTGTTGCCACAGAAGGATAGTTTCTAATCGGCAAATCCAAATATTAATGTTCCCTACCAGCACAGATTTTCCAACTCCCCTAATCAGTATACAGAGAGTAGAACTCAGATCCTGTAGAAGATCTTTGATTAGTCGTGGATTATACTGGTCTTCCATGACTGGAAAACAAACCAAACAAAATACACTTTTCTAGATGAACTAATTATAACTCAACTGTCTGTGCAGATAGCTACTGCAATTCCCAGCCATGACATTTCTTAATGCTGTTCCGTAAGTGCAAGATCAATAATTAACCATTTCACAGGCAAATCTGATGTAGTGTTTTGTCCTATGCATGTAATAAACCTAATGCTGAACAACTAGTTATAAAAGTGACTTCTGTTCAAAACCGACAGTACTACATCTCCATTTAGTATGGTTACTAGATTTTTTTCAGCACTTTGTAAGAGCTTTTCTGAAAACAAACAACAAAGAAAAGCAGCTATGTACTTCAAATCTCAGTACATCACACTAACTGAATAACCAACATGTTACTAATCTAAAAGCTTTCACTTTTCATGAAGAGTATAATTTAATAGCAACCAACAGTTTCTGAGTAGAATCTAATTGTCATTTAACTTCACCAATCTGTTTCAACAGACATGATTCAACAATCAAGAGAAAAAAATCTTATTGCAAGTGTGGGATGGGAAGTATGAAACCCTTCTGTAATTAAATATGCTATTGCTTTCTCTTACAATGTAAAAATAGTAATAATGCTAAGAAAAAAAACAAACCAAAAACTGATAGCTTAGCCTCAGTGATTAAATATGAACAAGCAGATTATAAAGCCCCAGGTCTTACCCTTCCGCACAATTTTGTCCAAGATGTTAAAGTAGTTCTTCTGTGCTGCACCACTCAATGAGGTTAACTGGGATTTTGCAATTAGCTGCAAAAGCTAGGACAAAGAATTAAAACTCAGAAGAATCACACAAGTAAAAGATGGCTTCAAATACTCTTTCAGTGCACACGTTCATCTACAACAGTCTAGAGCACTGCAACTGTACTTTGTGAAAACATAACTACAGACTTCAGAAAATGAATGAAGACCAATGTGGAAAGCTTCAGGCGTTCCCACCAGCATCAACTCATGAAGAGATGTACATTTTCAAAATACTGTACAAATACTAGTATGACATACGGTATTTACGAGCTGTAATGAAGCAGTGGAAGGAGTCTGTTTTGGAGGCTCACAAGTAGAAATGCGGTCTTTGATGTGGCTAGGTCCTAAATCTCCCGACAAATCTGATGGTCAGGAACATCACTCTGAACTGGTACCAACTACCAGGCTTCCAATATCAAAGTGAAAGTATCATACTGGCCAAACCCAGGTGTGATGCGACTTAGTGCCCTACTTTTTGCTCAGGAAGAGGAAATGCTGCATTTTACCTAAACTAGGGGGAGGAATAAAAATAATTTAAAAATCTGTATTAGTCCCACATTCAGGTCTCTGGCAGAAGAAACTACAGTAATCTAGTAAGGAACAGTAGACATACTGTAGTAGTAACTTTCGCTTAACTACATAATAAACATCTCCTAGCTGTCCACACGTTTTTCTCTGGAACCGTGAGCAGGACAGTGGTGAGAACAGTGGGAATGATCCACGGGAAAGCAGCCTGCATAGCTGAAGTTCTTGCTGCACATGAATGCCACCAAGCCACAGCTCCCAGAGGCAGCCGTTGCTCCATTCCAACACCTTTGCTTTTACATTTTAGATTCAGTTTTGTAGCTGATCAAGGACCGTTGCCTCTTTCAGCAAAAAATGGCCTCTTAGTACGAAATGTAAGAGACTTTGACGCTATGACAGTACCGCAGTGCTCAGAAGCGTGGTACTGAGCCTTCCTAGCACAGTTCCTAACGCTGAGTTCAGAACAAGTGTTCTCAATACATCCGAGAGGGCAAGCGGGCTGCAGAAACCAGCATCCCCTGCCGAGTGCTCGAAACACGAACCTGCAAAGCCGTGCTTGGTAGAGCAGCATCAACTACTGGCACAGAGGGCGAACAAAGACTAAGCCTGCCAAAAGTTATTTTGTATCTTCACTTCTAAAATACTGATTTCATACCACATGCAACATTATTTTTTCCTTTGGAGGAAGAGAGAATATACCTGTTCTCTCTCTGATTTAATAATGATCCTTCTGACTTCTCACATGATCCCTGACAAAATTATGTGCTAGGAAAGGAGGAAATAATTCTGATGTATTTAAATACAAGCAATCTACTTATCCAGTTTTTGAGACTACACATCAAGTCTTCTTTCTTGGCATTTTCAAAGCCTTTTAGTTTGATTAATAATTTAGAGAATATCTAGGCATCTCTGGCAATTTACCAGTTCAGGCAAGTATGTACATTACTCTTGATTAATTTTTTAAAAAAATAAATTATGTCACTCAGACTAAAGACCAATCCAAGAAACAAATTCCACCTCGCCGATTTTAATGAAGATTCCAGTTTCAGTGAAGGTTAATATGCAAGGATTAATAAAATTTTAGCAATTGCACAAGTACAGGGACCTGGCATGAGTTCAGTCTTGCCAATATGTGCATTGCCATGGCATATGTTGTGTACTAGAGATTATAACTTTGAATGAATCAACTGTTTATTCAAAAAGAAACATTTTGTAAAAAAGATCACCAACATCAAAATTAACATATCAGACATTTAACAGCTAAGAAATTATTATTATACTATAGCACAATCAACTATATAGCGAAACAGCTGATCCTACTTCCTCCCCCCACTGCCCAACCTAAAAGGGTCCTGGGCATATTAACTTCTCATAATGATTGGGAGGCTTTTAGTAGGTTGGAGAATCAAAATGGATCAGCTTCGCAGTCTGAGATCAAAGAAGTGCTAACAAGTAGGGCTTGATATTTAAAAAAAAAAAAAGTATTCTTGATTTACATCTTGCTATCTTAAATGCACCGAGCAAAACATCACACATAAAAGTTGTCATCATTGTGTTCGTGCATAACTAGGAATAACTCTCTGAGGAGAAGAAACAGGAGCTGCTGCACTGCATCAAATGAGATCTACACAGAACATGTTCACCACCAGAAAGGGCAGGGAAGTGAATGAGAACTCCAGTGAAGCAGACAGGCAGGGGATGACCTGCTTCTTACATTAGGTCTCAGCTGCATACTGGCTTAAAAACCTGACAGAGCAGATTAACCATCCCTTCAAAGAAATCTGTTGCAACTTCACACGTTACTGACATCCACACAGGTGTTTTGTTAGATACACCACTGGAAATGCTTCTCAAGTCAACAAGTTCTACAGATACAGCTGTCAGTTATATAAATCATGTTTATTAGCAGCTGAGTAACTTTTAAGGTTTTAGATGTACAGTTTCTGTAACTGTTGATAGAAGTCAGTTTGCCTCCACCACCTCAGAGGAATTAATAAAAATATTTAAATAATTTTTTATCATTGTAAAACAATTCTTCAGTTTTAAAACTTTCAAATAAATTCTAAAATGTTCAAATAATTTTGGAAGTCTACCTGCTGTTCTAAATCCACCCTGATTTCTAATTTCCCACATCTCCTGTTTTTCTGAAAGTATAATACACTGTCTCAGCTTCACAAGGATGGGCAGAATGTGTTTTCTCTCCAAATACTCGTGGTAAGGGTGTTCTCCTGGTATGTTTATTTAATTTTGATTTGTGTCTTTTTAAGCTCTAGATGCATTCCAACCATTACCGTTCACAAATACCAAGAACAGCCTCACCACTGAACTGAACTTTTATCCTGATATGTCTCACACGCTGAGCTTCTCTAGGAGTTGAGACATGGACTTTACTACCTCAAGTTAGATGGTAAAAAAAAAAACTGGGACTAGAGAAAGATCAGTATCTCCCAGAACAGGTATTTCCAAGTGAGCAGCTAGTTAGGCAACGGGGAAATTAAAACATAGTATTATGCGGATCCCTAAATATGAGTTAGATCATTTTGGAAAACAGGCAGATAACACTGTTGGCCAGAAGTTAGAGGTTCCATGCACTTAATTCTCAACTTGAGACTAGACCTGACTCAGAGAAGCTGACACAGTGAGAATGGGACTTTCCAAGGAATCATGAGATCAGTATATCATAATTGTTTTTACAAACTTTGTGGCACTGTGTTACTTGTAAAAGACAACTTGCAATAAATCTCATTTCTGGAAGACACATGAAAGAAAAAAGAAAAAGGAAGACTGAAAAAGATTGAGTCTCAAGTTTCAAGGGATGTTAACAGAGGTAAATGCACATATATCTTGTCCTAGATAGAAAAAAAACCACGTAACGCGTCACAAGGCTGTGAAAAAGCCGCAGATGAAACAGAAATTGCAGATTATTTACACAAATGTTCTTCTGAAAATTGCTATTTTAAGCATATTTAAGATGTAGTAAAGTATATTTAAGATGCATTACACTTTGCTATTTTTAGTTGCATAGGGATTATTTTGCCTTTAAAGAGAGTTTGCTACCCAGACTGAAGAATAACTGAAGCTACCATCAGTGTTTCCCTGCAAATACAGAGCACACTAGCTATTGCCATCCTCCTCGAGCTATAGTCTTTCGCAGAGCAATATAACGAGTTTTGGCCAATGAAAAATTGCTCAGTTTGAAGTTGCTTCATGCAGTATAAATTACAAATGAACTGAGTATTTATACAGTCACAAGTCATCAGCTGATCCGTGCAAAATTATTTCTTTTGTACACACAGGCACATGAGCAAACACATTTTTTAACTATGCATATCAAATAAAGAGCTTACTTTGACCACGTAATTGAACCTTCTGATGTCCTGAATTGCGCTTGAAAAGTCTAAGCGGTTAAAAGCTTCTCCCAGAGTGCAATAGCCGTGTCTCTGAGAAGAAGAACAAACACACTTTAAATGGAAAGTAACAAAGACAAAGTTGAGGAAATTACTCAGAAAAGCACTCTGCTGTACAACTGATGCTTATGTATACCACACTCTCTGGAAATATAATGTATCTGGACTGAAGATTTATTTGATTTCCTGTAGAACAAATGAAGCCAGATGATGCTATTTGGAACTAACAGGTACACAGACAACACTAGTTGACAGCGAGGGCTTTAAATTGGTAAGAATCATGTACTCTCTAATCACTGGTATTTGAGCGCTCTTGGAATCTACCCCATTATTGCCTGGGCACAACACTGGCACTTCCTCATGGCTGTCACACTCCTCGTTTGCCTCAGCACTGGGTACAGCTCATTCATACAGCAGCCCCAGCTTACAACCATAAGCATTAATTGGCTACGGTTATGTTCACAACCGGAAAGAGCAAGTTTGAGACTTTTAGAGAACAATCTAAGTACCTAAATCTATCATATGTTAAGATAAGACTGGAAGAGGGCAATGAATTTGGTGAAAGGCTTGTAACACCCTTCACCTGTCGAAGGACAGCCTCCAGGTCCTTAGCCTGCAAGGTGAAGTCTTTCAGGATCAACTCTGCATAAGCTCTCTCCATAACACCAAGCTCTTCCTCAGAGCAGAGCTCCTTATGGTCTCTCTCAGCTCTCAAATGCAAAGCCAACTTTTTGCCACATGTCCTCTTTGTAAAGTTTAAAGCCAAGTTTTACTTATTTATATTCAAATTTACATCGGGTAGCTGCTTGCAGATACCTTCTTTGGAGGAATTACTCTGGTTTTGCAAATGCTTTCAATTTTAGGTCAAAGATACACAGTACAGACAGAGACAGATAGGCTTGGAGAAGCAGTGGAGAACTGTATGTCCAACCTTGCAAGTTCCCACACCTCTGTCACAACGGTCCACGGAGCTGCCTTTGTTTCACCACGTGCAGGTATACTATACTGCCAATTAAGAGAGTTGAATAAAGCCCCCAAGATCACATGGCACAAATGCATATTTTTTTTAATACACTACTTGTTGATTAGGCAGCACAAAGATTGAAAGAGTCAACCACAGCATGCAGGACTTACTTCCTTGGTGCTTTCTTTATGAACATAAATCCACTTTTCACGATAAAAACCTAAAATAAAAATCAAAATATAAACATTTCTAGGCCTTCCCTTTAGGTAATGTCTTCTCAAAGGAAACTGAACAAAACAGACCATCCTCAATAAAACACTCGCTAAGACAGGAGAGATGGTAAAATAGTTTTAATGAAGGAAGTTTATAAAGGCTGAAAAGTTATATACTTTTTTTAAAAAAAAAGGAAAATTAATCTTAGAAATCAAACACAAGAGAGGGCACACAACTGGCAGATGTCCCACAATTTTGTAGACTGTGTACCCACAACAGTCAATTTCTCCTAACCGCCCCCCCCACCCTGATCTTTCTTAATCCAACCAGCTCCTTAACACTTAACACAGGCCAGTACAAATGAGCAACCTTTTTGTTCCTGACCACTCTGCCCCTCCATTTCCTTTTGTAAAGGTGTCTGCTTCACATCCACTTTGTTCAGCTGGTTGTAGAATACTGCAAGGAAGCCAATTACACAAGACTAACAAAGGCAACTAGGCAGACCTTCAGCTTTCAGAAGTCCAGTGTGTTGTCAACTGAAATAATCTTTTGAAATACTTGAAGCTCAGAGAAACCTGGGGAAACTTGCAGCTTTCTGCAACATCACCTATGTTACAGTCTTGGGAATATACAAATAATCAAGATAATTTCAAGATCAAAGGATTAGAAAGACCAAAGAACTGCTAATCAGCTTAGCTTTTTTTACCAACTCTTACCAAATCCTCTACTTCAGCAAATTTACTTGCTGTCATATGCATTTGTAGTCCAAAGTAGAGCTGATCTTTAAAAAATGAGAACTGACAGCATATCTTTCATTTACTTTTTTTTAAAAGTGATTTTTCTTCATGAAATTCTATACTGATAAAGTCTTTATGATGAGCTCTAAGTATTACAATAAAACATATTTATTATGAACTGATTCTGGAGTTGTATCAGAATGTGAATTGTGCAAAAATAAAACATCTGCTTTGGTAAGCAGAAGCTTCCATAAGCACCCAGAAGAATTTAATCTAAAACTAGTCCAGCGATTACTATCAGAACACATTTAATATTCAGGATTTACTATTCTTAAATGAACTACTGTTGGAGCTTTCAAAAAAAACCAACCAAACAAAACCCCACAACAGATTATCAATGCCAAGTTCAAGTAAGATACATGGTTTCTGATACCAGAATTTACCGACAATACAGACGTAAACATAATTCAGAAACTTACTCTATACATGAATATAAATGTGTGGCTATTATAAAATTTTGCTGAACCTACAAGAGTCTAAAATAAATGAAAAAACCATCCTTACATTGTGAATCTGTATTATTCCTAAAATGATCTTTTTTCCTTTTCTTGGCTGCAAACTCACAATCTTCAGTACCGTATATTTCTTCATCCTCACCATCACCAGTTATGATGCTGAAATAAAAACATTTAATTAGAATGACAGTGATTAAATATTTAAGATACATACATCCTATAACTCTCTGCATTGAAGACTGCCAGCTGGAAAAAAAAAAAATCCTATTTTTAAGGATTTTCCTCCACTTGATGACCTATGGCAAGACATATCTTAATAGAGAAGCTGTCTTGTTCTTTTCTTCTCAGTGAGGTCAAGTTTTCTGTCAAAGTGATTAAACACAAAAAAGCATTTTCCTGACAGGTATTTTGTAAGTCATTATTGACATTTAGGAAAGACTACCAAGGAGACAGTACTAGCTGGATAACTGGGTGCTGCAAAGCTCTGGTGTACAAAAATTCACTATTTGGAACGGACCAGGCCTTTAAAAAACACCAGTGCACACACTTAAAAGCCAATGCAGAATTACTGCACATCTTGGCATAGGCAGAAAGCCAGCAAAAAAAGACGCCTCCCTTAATACTTCAACTTTAGGGCAAAGAAAGTCCTCCTTTTAACAGATGCCTGAAGCACAACAATGTACATAATGCAAGTGTCTCAGTAGGGTTTTACCAATCAAGAACCATGTGGTCTATTCTCCTTTCTCCCAAAGAGACTTGACTATACCTGTGTCACTTCTGACAGTTAACTATGTAACCTAACACTTAGAACTATATAGAATAATTACATATATACTGTATATATAGATAGTGTGAGTAGGTATAGATATAAAAAAGAATATAAAAAGAAACTGTTAAAAAAGTTTTGTGGGATAAACTAACCATTCTAAAATTCATGTACATTTTAAAACTGTCTGTGCTACACAAAGTCTACAGTTTTCATAAAATTTTGCTTCCCATTTTTGCAGATAACCAGCAATACAGATAAGAATGGGTGTTCATTTTTCTAGCACTGAGAAGGAAGATATTTTAAATGAAGGCCACAGTCTTGCACAGATAACCAGAATAACTAAGGATACCCGGTAGTGAAGTTTAACTGTAGGACAATTTTACTTCCCCATTATTACTCTTTGACAGGAAAGCTGTACACAAAACTCCACCCATTCATTACCATTTTTTTTATCTGAACTTGTTGATGAATCTATTTGTTAATGTCAGTTTGAACTTCAAGTTGCACCAGCAACAGCTGAACACTGTAAAACTGAAGGATACCAGTTTTTTCAAAATAACCCGTATTTGGGCATTAAGTTGCCAAAATCAAATTACATTAGTCTATTGCTACCAATTTATACAGTTAAAATTCTCAGGTTTGAACCATCTGTTAAGGAGGATGAATAAAAAACAATGTAGAAAAGATGTTTTTCTAATTGCTCTCATCAGTATACACTAGCTCAGCTTGAAGATACACAAGTTGAGAAGACTCAGAAATAGAAAGCTGTTTTCATCTGAGGTTTAAATGCTGAAAAAACCCCAACCCTAACACACTTCTGCATTCAGAGTTCAATTCAAGGTAAGGGCCTTAGTTCATATCTTACCATTTGTAAAGCAGAGGATAAAACCTCAACAACTTCAATATTCTATGCAACATTGCCAAATATAATATCTGGTCAAACAGCAAAAGAGTTTAGAGAAAAGGAACTGTCAACTGACAAAAGCAGAACATCAACACTGATAAATTACTTTCATTATGTAACCTTCCAGTCCATCAGGTTTTTTACCAAAACGATAAAGAAAATAATGTCTTAAGCTCAATAAAATGAATTACAGTTTAGCATATTGACTTCATTGCCACATCACGTGAGAAGTTACTGCAGAATCTGAAAAGCTGCTGCAGAATCAGAAATAGAGCCCAAAGGTCCCAGACCTGGCTTTATCATCCAAAAAACACATATAAGACATATAACACATATAGAGAGATACAGCCTGACACTTCCCAACACAATTTAGGCAGAACACAAACACGCCCCTTCCCATTGACCTAGTGCAAGGAGGAGAGGAGGGGAGGCAGCATTCCAGAAGGTCTGATTCAGAAGAGGAAAGTTAATCTGGCAGGATTCCTTCTTTTGTTGCTGCAGAGGAAGTGTCCATGGAAAGCAATTTAGATCAGCAAGGTACCTGAAGTCATTTAAAGCTCACCCCTGCCCCCCCAATAATATGCACTTCCTCAAGCATCAAATAAACAAGCAAAGCAGCTGGAGGACAGTCAGTTAATACAAGGAGTTGCAAAGATGAACACCTCTGTCTGTCACTGAAATCTGCCTCTGACATTCCTGGAATTCTTCATGTAGTTTTAGAGAGAAGACTGTCGTCCCTGAGTATCTTCCGTATGAGGCTTTCTTTCCTGTGTTCTGCCCCACTGTGT